GTTTCATCCAGACCCTTGACTCCGCATCAAGTGTCACCCAGGGCACAGAAATGTTGCACTAAAACTCGCTGCTAAAATCAGCCTTGTCAGTGATAGCCTTAAAACTAACATTGCACTGAAAGGCGGTAACATAATACTGTGTTTTGCACTTCTCTGTCTTAGGGATGGATTCGATGAATTATTCAACCAGCTGCATAAATACAATGTGCCCCTGTTCATCTTCTCTGCTGGCGTGGGGGACATCCTCGAAGAAATTATCCGTCAGGCCAATGTTTTCCACCCAAATGTCAATGTGGTCTCCAACTACATGGACTTCGATGATAATGTGAGTGCTTCATGTATGTGCTGAGAGTCTGCACAGAGAAGGGGATTTGTTAGCAATGAATTCAGGGCTGCAGAAGTTTACCAGAGACGCTGCTAGGTTAAAAGCTGCCTTTCTAGAAGCTAAACCTTCTGAGTAGATTTGATCCTTGAGCTGGACCTGCCCCTTTCTGGATCATGGGAGCATCCCCGGACTAGCACGTCCTTTCCAGGCTCATTTTAAGTGGAGGGTCTTGAAGGTTGGAGCTGGAGGCCTGTGAACATCCCTGCCTATAGCCCTCTCCTTCAAGTGGCTGCAGGAGGGACACGGAGCCTGTGACACAGGGTGGGGACTTTGGGATCAACTTCTCTGTCCCCTCTGCACAGGGAGTCCTCAGGTGTTTCAAGGCACCTCTCATCCACACCTACAACAAGAACAACTCCGTGCTGCGGGGCACGGAGTATTTCCAGCAGCTGAGCGCTCGGACGAGCATCATCCTGCTCGGAGACTCCATGGGCGACCTGACAATGGCAGACGGTGTCCCCAGCGTGGAGAACATCCTCAAGATTGGCTTTCTCAATGACAAGGTGGGTGCGTTGTGTCGCCCCGGGCACTGGGTCCGCGCTCTGGGGTGGTTATTGGCCCCTCTTTGCTGTAGCATCAGGAGTCGTTTTGGGCCATGGGGGCTGTGAGGGGCAGGACTGTCTCCTTGGTGGCTCTGCTGGGTGTCCCCTGCCTCTTGCTTTTGCTCCTGGAGATATTCCCTGGGTCTGGGCCTTGATCCCAGCCTCCGCTCTTCACGGGCCTCCTCTTCCTCCGTGTCCTCTCGCCCCTCTGGCCGCGCTGCAGGTGGAGGAGCGGAGGGGGAAGTACCTGGACGCCTACGACGTGGTGCTGGAGAGCGACGAGACGCTCGACGTGGTCAACGGGATCCGCCGCTACGTCCTCACGGAGACGT